GCAACAGAGCCAGACTTTGTCTCAAAAAGGAAAAAAAATAAAATAAAATAGAAAGCATAGATATTACTACCTCAGCCACTCACGTGGACAATCTGTGGTTGTTTGGCATCACCATCATTCCTGACTCTGAATTTATATGCTACAGTGAATAATGTATGTAAGTCTTGGCCCCATGCAGAGTATTCATGGGGAACCTGCCACAGGGGCATCCAGCCTTACCCTTTGTGGGCAGTTTGTGTACGATAATCTTGGGGGTGTATGGAAAATTAACTATAACACAGCTGAAGGGGGCTGGGTCTTTTTTCCACTGGGGACACTGAATAAACTGTGTGTTGTGTGTTTGTGTTTTGACTTGTCATGATATCAGGTGTGGAATTTTCCACTTGTGGTATCATGTCAGAGTTCAAAAATTTTCAGATTTTGGAGCATTCTGAATTTCAGATTTTCAAATTAGTGATGGTCAACATGTATATCTGACTCAGAAATGGCTCTATGTGATAGATGTTAGCTTATAAACATGAAGATTTGGTAAAGCTAGTTTTATCAGGGAAAACCACATAAACAACTTAAGAAAAAAGAGTCTCTCATCCAGTAGATTCAAAAATACCTACCTGAAAGATAGGCTCTGATAATCCTAGGAGCACCCTTTGAGCATTTGTAGGGCCCAAGAATCGATGCACAAGGGAAGACCAGCCCAGGGAAAAACGAAATACAATATCCTCTTGAAAATCTGAACATAACTTGTGGCAATTTAGGTCGTAACTGAGATCAAATTTCTTGCAAGGGATCAGTGTATGTAGTTTATTCTGTATACCAGCTGGAAGTAAGGGCTTCAAGTTTTCTAGAAAGAATAAAATTACAACATTTATTTTAAGAAATAGTAAATATTTTGCCTCCTATGAAATACCATAAGGAAAATAAACACTTCACCAACAAAAGAAAGAAAAAACTACACAAAATTTTGTACATATAAATATTACCAATAATTTCTTGCTGAGATTGAAGCATTGATGCATTGACTTCACTGGTACACCGATCAGCCAAATTTCTTCCCATACCATCTTCTATGTGCTTATTTAACTCCTGTTAACAATGGTAAATTGTCCACATTAATTTTTCTCCAGAATATGTAGATTTTATACAGACTTTAAAAATGTAATAAATGCTAAAAAGATCTTAATCTCATTCTAATATTAATAGTGTAAATTTTCTCTGTGCTTTTACATACATGAGAATTTACATTTATTGGGTGCACAAGCGATGTAACAGTTTAATTGCATACTGATTACTATGAAACATTGAAATGGACAAACCACTAAATAAATAAAAGTATAGAATAAGAGGAAGAAATGGTCTCTGAATAATTTTTAACTATACTTTAACTTACACTTTTATATACTTTCAACACACTTGGAGTAGGATGAAACTCAGAACAAAATTCATCAACCAAAACAGACAGTCGACAAATTTCATCTGTCATGGCACATGAGACCTGAAAATATTTTAAAAATCAGAGTTAAAAAAATACTAAACAAAATTACCAACTCCCCAAAAAGTCAAATTGAAAAACACTTAAAATATTCTTTTAAGGTAACAGGAATGACATTTTTAGCATTATCAAAAGTAATTTACATTTCCAGATACTCAAATCATCAAGTTATTGTTACTCACCTTGTTTGCCACGTCCTCGGTAACCTCCTTGATTTTTTTCTTAACATCCAGTGTTAAAAGGTTCATCTGGTTTCGGATAAAGTCCAGTCTATCAATTTGGTCTTCCCTCTCTTCCATTGAATAAACTCTATTATAGTATAAAGAGTAATTAATATTCAGGGCATGTTAAAGTCCCAAAACAATTAAGCAAGGGAATTCACTCATGTATTTAGCCATCTATTAGCATGATACAAGAAAAAAGAAATCTCGTATTTCAACATCCAAAAGGATTCAAATAATTCACTTTATGAAATACTTTATATAGGTGATTTAATATAAACAACTTTTATCTCTCTGCCCATGTTACACCTGAATCCCACAAAGGATTAATAAGGATTCTAAGTCTCCAAACACTTCACAGATATGAACAGTTAAAATAGAACTCAATATTGACTTTAGCTAATAAACAGGAGTCAGCAAATGGCACCCTACAAGTCAAATCCAGCCAGCTGCCAGCTTTTGTTAAAGTGTTCTTGAAACACAGCCACATGTATTCAATTACCTATTATCTATCTATGGCTGCTTTTACTATAAAACTATAAAAATGAGTAGCTGCAAGGAGACAGTATAACCCACAAAGCCTAGAATATTTACTGTCTGGCTTTTTATAGACAATTATTTGACCCCCTGAATGATAAAGAAAAACGAAGACCTGAAATCCTTTTAAGAAGGTCTTTTAGATTAAAAAGTTCCCTAGAAGAGGCCGGGCGCGGTGGCTCACGCCTGTAATCCTAGCACTCTGGGAGGCCGAGGCAGGTGGATTGCTCAAGGTAAGGAGTTCGAGACCAGCCTGAGCAAGAGCGAGACCCCCGTCTCTACTAAAAAATAGAAAGAAATGATCTGGACAACTAAAAATATATATACATAGAAAAAATTAGCCGGGCATGGTGGCACATGCCTGTAGTCCCAGCTACTTGGGAGGCTGAGGCAGGAGGATTGCGTGAGCCCAGGAGTTTGAGGTTGCGGTGAGCCAGGCTGACGCCACGGCACTCACTCTAGCCAGGGCAACAAAGCGAGACTCTGTCTCAAACAAAAAAAAAAAAAAAGAAAGAAAGACACCTGCACCCGAATGTTTATAGCAGCACAATTCACAATTGCAAAGATGTGGAAACAACCCAAGTGTCCATCAATACATGAGTGGATTAATAAAATGTGGTGTATGTATACCATGGAGTATTCAGCTTTAAGAAACAATGGTGATACAGCACCTCTTGTATACTCCTGGATAGAGTTGGAACACATTCTAAGTGAAGTATCCCAAGAATGGAAAAACAAGCACCACATGCACTCACCATCAAATTGGTATTAACTGATCAACACATAAGTGTACATATAAGAATAACATCTATTGGATGTCAGGCAGGGGGGAGGGGGGACAGGTATCTGCATACACAAAGAGTGCAATGCGCACCATCCAAGGGATGGGCACACTTGAAACTCAGACTTGGGGGGGAGTGGGGAGGCAAGGCCAACATACATAACCTAAACATCTGTACCCCCATAATATGCTGAAATTAAAAAAACATGTACATTAATTTTCACAGCAGCATTATTCATAGCAGCAAAAAGTACAAACTACCCTCATGTCCATCAACTGATGAATGGATAAATAAAATGTCTTGTATCTATAATGAAAAATTATTCAGCCATTAAAAGGCATGAAGTATTGATGAATGCTACGATAACCTTGACATTATACTAAGTGAAAGAAGCCAGTCACATAAGGCCACATTTTGTATGATTACATTTATAGGAAATGTCCAAAAATGGCAAATTCATATGAACAGAATGAGGTGAGTTGTGGAACAGGAGGTAGGAATCATTATTTACTACAAATGGGCATAAGGGATTCTTCTGGGTAAAAGAAATGTTCAAAACCTGGATTGTGGTGATGATTTCATAAATCATCATAAATTTTCTGAAGAATTATTAAATTAATAAAGTTTTAAAAGTTTTTCTTTCAAAAGGCCTACATTTATTCCAATTTATTTGATGTCTGAAAACAACTTTTAAGTTAAGTTTCAAAAATGAATGTATAACGATCTGTAACAGTACTGGATGAAAACTCTGAGATTGGCTTTCCCCTATGCATAGTACAGGCTGAGTATCCCTTACGCAAAAGTGTTTTGTTACCCAAAAGTGACCCAAAGTGTTTCAGATTTCAGATTTTTTAGGATTTTTGAATATCTGCATGCACTTAACGAGATACTTTGGAACCCAAGAGTTAACACAAAATTCACTTATGTTTCATATATACCATATATGCCCAGTCTGACGATAATTTTATTAACATATAACATTTACATAATTTTGTGCATGAAACAATGTTTGAGTACACTGATGCATCAGAAAGCATAGATGGGCTGGGCGCGGTGGCTCATGCCTGTAACTCTAGCACTCTGGGAGGCCGCGGCGGGTGGATCACTCAAGGTCAGGAGTTCAAGACCAGCC